AGGCGCTCTTGGCGGGCCCTGGATCTCCGGCAATGCAAGCCTGGCTAGCTGGCTAACTCATTGTTCCTCCACCGTCGCCCCCAAATTTGCACTTGCACCCCTCCCGCGTTGGGTTCAGACGTGCTCCAGTGTTTGCCCCCCTTGGACGACGATTCCAGGCTAAGTACAGCTCGCTTTCCAGGCCGCCCGACGCACCACGTCCTGCCCCATAGCTTGGGGGAAAAAAAAAACAACGGGATTTGCAACACATTAATTGATAATGCCAACCCATCAACGCCCTGTCGTGCCCTAGAAAGACGCCCCTCTTGGGCGCGATGTGCATTGGCGTGGAAGGCGCCCACCTTGAAGACCGATTGACATTGAACTTGACCTTAGAGAAAGAGAGGGGAAAAAAACACAGGTGGATTGAAACGAGTCGCATCTCCTCGGGGCGCGCAAAAGAAAAATAAAAGGTGCTACTACTGGCCACGCCGCGCCATCCGAGGGAGGTAAATATAGTCAGGGGGATTAATGAATCGGAGCTGCGCGCGCGCGCTCCCGACAGGTTTAAAGCTGCCCGGGTGCTGAGGGCGCGCGCGCGCCTTCCTTCTGCCCGGGGAGCTTAGCGGAGCGCGTCTTTGGTAAAGCCGGGGGAGAAGAGGAGAAGTAAACAAGCCACTGACTAATCCGTTTATATGCCAGCGCGTCGTCTTCCTTTCTTTTTTTCTTCCCCAATCAGAGGAACGGTGGAAGGAAGGAAGGAAGGAAGGAAGGAAGGAAGGAAGGAGGAGTTTGAAGCGACACCCAAGCCCTGTGAGCTGGGACTCGGGCTGCTTTGCCTTGCCCAGGTGAAGGGCAGAGAGAGAGAGAGAGAGACAGGCAGCCGGATCCCGCTTAGATGTTCAGCGAGGCTGGTTGGGGTGCAATGGTTAATTGGAATGGATAAACAGTGGTTCCACCCCCCCCCCATACACTCAGCTAGGGAACCGCAAGGGGTATCACCTGAAGTAATAGAGCATTTTAACCTGGACGGGGGCTGTTAGGGTTGTGCACTTGGTGCCATCTCTCTATGCACCTGTTGAAGGGGCAACTCAACTGGCCCTGGTGCCTTCAATGGGCTTCCAAAGGGTGATGATGAGTTGGCCACCATGTAAAAGCGTAGAGAAATCAACCCGTCCAGCAGTTGTTGCTTCGTACTCTCAAGTCACCTCCACCTGCTAATGGCACTCTGAAGGAGAGATTCCCCAGAAGGTCCAGTCCTCAGCCAAACCACTCAGCTCTTGTAAACTTAAAAGCCTGTGGTTTCCTTTAGGGAGTCAGTTCATCTCATATTTCGTCTTCATCTTTTGCTGCTCCCTTTCCCGTCTTTCCCCAAATCATTGCCTTTTCCAGAGAAGCCTGGCTTCTTATCACGTGGCCAAAACCGAACAGCCTCCGCTGCAACATTTTTTGCCTGCAGAGATAGTTCAGGCTTGATTTGACCTTGGACCCACCAGGATGATCTTTCTGGCAGCCTTGGGGTATCTGCAAAGCTCTCTTCCAGCACCTCAGTTCAATCAAATCATCCCTCTCCGCCATCGGCTTTCTAGCGGTCCAGCTTACACACCCATACATGGTGATCAGAAATGTAGGACTGTAGATAGTCTTGGTCTCAGTTCCCAATGACTTTGGAGACTTTCCCCAAAATCCATACTGTGGCCATAGTTTTGGTTAGGCTACCCAGAAGGTCCTAAAATCATCATCATTGTCTCAGAACTGAAAGGGACCCTATGGATCATCAAATCCAACCTGTTTTAAGGAGGCCCAGTGGGGGAATCCAGCTCCCAACCTCTGGCTCTGCAGCCATAGACTTCAGTCGCTGAGTTATCCAGCAGTTCCTCTGTGCACGTTTTTTTGAGATTATGGATTTCTTCACCAAGTGTAGCGCTTGTGCTTTTCGACATTGTAAGTTTAATGTCAATCAACCACTGGTCTTCAAAGTGGAAGCCTTAAAAAAGAGAAATCGCACACAAGAGGGGTGTCCTTCTAGGACAAGACAGGAATCTGGAAATGTTACTCCATTTTTGGACTGCAAAAAAAAAGGATAATTAAATGTGTTGTAATCCAAATTACAAACACAACAGACAGGGCAGTGAAGGAGAGCGCTCAGTTGTATGCGTGCTGTTTTCAGAGGTAATGGCAGCAAAGAGCCTGCGGGCGGTCATCAGGTTTCACTCTGAAGGGCCTCCGAGCTTGCTAGAACAGGAAAAACAAGAAAAACCAACACATTTAAATTATCCATTTTAAAAAATACTAACAGCCCCACTTTTGGGGGAAAAACACACATGTAAAATGCCTCTATCCTGTGTGAAGTTCACAGGTGTCCGTCCCTTTTGCAAGTGGAGAGAAATTAGTGTCCTAGGGTGGCCTTCATATTGACACAACTGGAAATGGTTTGAGTTGGTTGATTAAAGACATCAAGTCAGAAGCCAAATGGAGTAACCATAGCAGTTAAGCTGGAAGCAATGAGGCCACAAGAAAGTAAACCCCGTTTTCAGGTGGTAGCAATCCCCCTTCTTTCCTCTCCCCGACAGACAACTTGGTCACCTCTGCTTTTTGTGTGCTTCTATTCTGTAGCCCCCCCCCCCAATTGACCAGCCATATCTGAATATGCCCCCTTTCCATAAATCCAAATTGGCGGAACCTCATTTGCCTAACAGGCCAGCGGTGGCGGCTGTGGCCTTTCAGTTTCATCATAGGGAGCCTCGGCTTCCGGTGGTACAAAAGATGGGAAGGTAAACTGGGTGGCCGCCCTGATGTCGCAGTGGGTGGAATACCACTTGGGTGCATCCGACAGGCTGCCTGGCATCTCTGTGTGGAGGGCACGTGCCATTTGCATCAGGCAGCTGATATCTTGGGTCAGCCCTGAGATCCATGTATGTGTGCGTGTGCATGTGTTTATGGCTCTGCCATAAGTATTGGGGGAGGAGTGAAATGGAGCATGTTGCAATGTTAGTCCTGCTTTCCCTTTGTTATGGACTAAGCGCAACTAGCTCCCTGAATATTTAGGGATTCCAAATCTGTCTAATTCTGGAAGAGGTGTGAGCCCCAGTTCCTCTCACTTTAGCAGTGAAATGACCCGGCCGTCCCAGGCTTCTCCGCCACAGAGGCTGGCAACTTTGCTTTTGCCAGTAGCAGCTACTAATTCACTCCTTGTTTTACTGTGAACTTTAAGGGTGCTGACCAGCGTGATTAACCCTGAACCTAGGGTTTAACAGCTTGGATAGTGTCCAGCAATTCTGGGGCTAAAACCTGGAA